ATATCAAAATATACGTTACATCCAATATGATAAACACAATTTAAAAAAATAAATATTTCAGCTCATTTAATTGTAAATTTGGCAAAAATCATTAATCATTATATGAATACAAATAATTCACAATACTTTATTTATATATTTGTGCAAATGCACATGTCGAATACTAGTTAGGTTGAAAGCCCAACCTCCATTTATTTCTCCGAGCTCCTGGGAGAGCTTGGTCCCTTTATCTCCTTGCCAAGTCGATTGTAAAGACCTAAAATACGTAACAAATATTTGTTTATATAATTCGGTCTTTGAGTCTTTGACAATCAGTAATATAATGGTATTGTGTCTAACACAAATCTATATATATATAATTGCTAGCATATAGCATTTAATTTTACCTATTTAATAAAACCTCTAACATTTTCCCTCCATTTTCAGTTACAAAAATTATCATTAATATTTTTTATTTCTCACATTAATGCATCATAATGAGTATAATCATGTATTTTTCTATTATATTATATAATAGTTATTGCTAATACCAACTAATAATAATTCACAATAAATACAAATTACATAATTAAGAACAATTGTTTTAAGTTATTTATTTTAACATCAATATTATCTTTTTCTTTTGTATCTCATGAAAAAATTTCTTTAAAAACAATTAGTAAATTATTCTAATAGCATAGTCAGACAACTTTAGAATCTTATAAACAATTGTTTTAATAATAATAGTAATAATAATAATAATAATAATAATAATAATAATAATAATAATAATAATAATAATAATAATAATAATAATAATTAAACAGTTAGTATCTAATGGTAATATACAATTTTTCATAATAATAAAATCGTTATTTTTTTGTTTCTAATGATCAAATTTTTGAAAATGTAATATGTTCATTATCTAAAATTTTAATATTAAATTCTCAAATATTACTTATAATATTATATGTACATCTGTGCATGATTGGCACATATTTTTTTTTTCTAAGAATCAGAAACATCAATATTTTTTTTATTTATGTTAATTTTCTTAATATATGCTACAAATATATAAATTATTTTATTCATGTTACTAATATAAACGTTGCATGTTTAAAATACAATTTAAATCTCAATTGATTTTGAATGATAAAAATAACTTAAGGAAACATAATATTTTTTATATGATAGAAGCACATGTCTAATTAATAAATACAAACAAAAACATAAATTTTGACTCTAAAAATAAAATCTTTAGTTGGCGGAACATAAATTCCAGTTTCAAAAATCATATCAAATGCGCCACTATTATATAGTTCATATTTTTTCCAGTTATCAAAATATTTTCAACTAATCATGCTCTTGATTTGTTATTTACACTAATTAGTTAATAGACTTATGTAGGTGCTTATAAATAAAATAAAAATCAGATACATTTTCACTTTGCATTCCACACTCATAATCACAGTCACCGAAAAAACTATTTCGACACAACATATTTTTTTTGAGTTCCAAATGGCAGTGCAATTTGATAATATGATTTTCTTGGCTAAGAACAAGAAAAAAACTACAATATTGCGATTGATTCGATTTTAGTCAGAGAAATTTTTGACAAACAAAGAAGTAACTACTGGGCTGAAATTTGTTTTTCATGATGTAAGGCATGTATAAATTAAAAGCATGTCTACAACGGCTAAAGAAAATCAGAATCGATCCAAGTATTTGTCTCCGATAAATAAAAAAAAGATTAAAAATGAAGAAAAAACGACGAAAATGTTGCAGGTGGTAGGGTTTTAGGCATTAAATACCTGTCTCTACCACTTTGTTGAATGTTCTACATTTGTGTGGTGGATGAAGCTTTGACCGTGCTATATGGGTCCATGCATTTGGATTATGTTTAATTTGGCCCAATAAAAAAAAAACATTAGCCTTGATACTACTTGGATTCAAACGAAATCAACTTTATTTGACCCATTTGTGGCCTGAAAAAAAATTTATTGTTTGATTTTGTCTGGACTTTGTTAATAAACAATGGGATTTGAATGTTTGAGCTTAAGTTATAAGAAAAATAATGGGTTGTGGCGTATTTAAAATATTCTCTTACTAAATTTTTTTATTGGGATACATCAAGAAATCAGATTGGGTTTCGAAAAATTATGGACGTTGTATATAAAGAAGTGTTTAATTATATTTGAATTTTCTTTCTTAAAACTTTTTTTTTCAATGATTATGTTATAATTTTTACTATTGTTTATATTTTTTATTATTTATTTTTTATCATACAGTTTTCCGTGCAAATGCACGGGTAACAACTAGTGTGCATTCAAAACACATTTGTTTTTTATTGATGTTGTCACAAATCAAGTTAAAATAAAAGATAATCAGTTTATTTGATCAATTAACCGAAATAATCTAAATAAACAAAATAATTTATAATTTATATTATAAAAATATATTTAGTATATTTAATATTTTATATTATTTTTTGGTTGTAATTTATTATATAGTTATGTCGCGGTAGTGCAATATGACAATCATTAATGTGTAATCCGTCTACCAGTAATGGAAACTGTTTTCTATGACAATATATTTGGCATGTATAATTTTTTTATTTAATGTTTTATATTTTTACTTTGTTAAAAATAAATAATATATAAAAAATAAATAAA